ATATGAGGGATTTATGTCTCACTGTCTAACAGGAGACTCCTTTTCCTCCATCATCATCCACTCCAGAGCAAACCAAGCTTGCACTAATAATGTACATGACTCTTCTCACAAGGTATTGGCACACATCATTCCTATAGAATATCAAAGACTCGTTACCTAAGCAGTTTCTTAGGTAATGAAGGCATAACATTCCAAATTTTTGTACAAGTATTTCACATTATGGCTATTAAACTTGTTCATTAATATCACAGAATTGTCCACATTAAAGAGAGTAAGGGCTCTTTTACACTTGCTTCAAAATGTGGCATTGGATACGCTTTTTTAAAGCACTCTGAATGCCAATCAAAGCACCTGTCACTAAATAAAATGGTAAACTTACTGTCCTGTTCACACGTTGCATTTGCTTTGCTTCAAAAGTTATACCCCATGTCACTTCTTGGTGCTTCAAAGGATCTCCAAATCCTCCATAGAAGTCTATGACAAAGCTTGCTAACAGCACCTGCAGCTTTTTGGGCGACTTTTATTCAGAGTTAGCTTTGCTTTGTTTTGGAGGTATTGCAGGTATGAGATATCCTAGGATGCACTATGAAACTAACAAGTGAACTGGAAAGACATCATCAGCAGTCACTTCTGGTTCAAGTGCATATATTCTGGAAGTGTTTGGTGCAGTGTGAAGTAGCAAGAAGGTGAGTGGGATCTGCACTGGAACGCAGCAACTTGTAGGCAGCACATGTGCTGTGCAACATGGGAATGCTATAGCGGAAGGTGAGGGACTGGAGAGAGAGGACTGAGCGGTGGAGGATCAGCAGATCTGGCAGACCGAAGCAAGAGAAACTAGCAATGTCACATGGTACGCAGTATAGGAGCAATATAGTGGGAGATGAGCAGGTACCAGAGAGAGAGGAGGATCAGCAAACCAAAGGTTTAAAAGAGCTGGGGGTTACTACTGAGTGGCGGATCATCAGAGCTGGGGGTACTACTGAGCAGGGGATCTGCCGAACAACGGTACTACAGTAATAAGCTGGGTATCTGCTGAACGAGGGTACCAATGAACAGGGGTACTATTGAGCTGATGATCTACTGAACAGGGGTACTATATTAAATAACAGGGTCTCTTGATGATACATGGGATGTAGATACTACTTGGCCTGTGATACTAAATTTACTATTGCATATCATAAATGTGACGTTGGTATGCTTCTTTGAGGAAGCTTTTGACCATTTCATCTATGATTGGTGTTCTTTTCAAGACTTTCCACATGCAGGAATAAAGCTCCAAGTCAAATAGAAACAGAACACAGAGGTGGGACCTATCACTTTTTACCTATAACCAGGATGTGAGAGGGAGATCTGGAGGTTATGCAAGGCAGGTTAGATTACCTTTTTATATTTGTCAGTTCTTTGGAACATTACCACTATGAAATGTTCAAAATAGGGCAATGAGCCATGCTGCCCATTGCTTTAAAGTAGATTTAAACTTTAACTTGGTGACATTTGGCTTACTAAAGAACTCAAGAACAATTGCCCTTTTTTGAAGAAATACTGTTTTCACCATTTTCACCAATTTTTGCTCCTCCTGATCTACTTTCTGTGCACATGCACTCCGTTGTGTTCGTTGCACATCATTTTCCTGGACAGTCTTTTTAAAAGTGACCATGGTTTAGCATGTCTGTGCAATGTATGTTGACAAAAGCCATGTATATGGCATAGATCATAGCTCCCAGACATCTACCACTGACTAAGGATAACTGAATACTGATGGCAGCTAAGGACTAATAGTCCATATAGTCTGCTCACTTATATTAGTATTAGAAACAGTTCAAAACACAACACACACTTGCAATTATCTTCATAAACAGCATCTCTCACAGTGAAGTCCAGAGTAGCTCTGCTAAAACAGGTGAACAGCTGGACGATCCAAGATTCAAACACAAATGGCCGTCCAGCTCGAAACAAATTCTCTGGTAACAGTAAGGGAGAGGCTTCCCCCAGTATTTGGGTTTTCCAGAGAAGCTGCAAAATGTTAGTCCCTTGCCCAACTGCCTGCATGCTGGTTTTGACAGTTGAGGCACGCTCACCTGGTTCCAGATCACTTGCCAAGCTACCTCTGCCTCATCAGGTGTGGCCTCTCTGAGCTGCTGATAGGGGGAAGCTGAGGAACCTATCTTTCCTGAGTGTGTTCAGGAACCAAAGGAGTTGTGGGAAATACAGTTAAAGAAGCCTGCGCCTGCATCTGAGTATGGTGAGTAAATGGGCACTCTTCGACAATCCCTGCATGTGGAAATTATTATATAGACCTTCAATCAAAGATAGAGTGATCAAAGGTTTCCTCCAAGAAGCATATAGAAATCCCATATATGGTATGCAATAGTACGTAAATAGAATTTAGCATCACAGGCCATGTAGGGTTCACATCTCCTGTATCCTCGGGAGTTCTTTCCGAGCACTGCCAATTTTCCACAGCACGCAATGCATAGCTAAATATTGCTGAATGTGTAATATTTGGTGAGATGTAGCTTGCAGGAGTTCAAAATGTTGCTTAGTTCCAAGATGCTTCCTTGCTGTGAATGCAGTTTCAACATAAAATTGACATCCATTTTATGTTCTTTTGCAACACATCTGCATTAACACTGTAGAATAAAAAAAAAGCAAAAGAAATCATACTTTTGTTTTTTCCACTGTAAAGAGTGATGGCTGTTTCCGCTGCTACCTAGCGACAATGTTTATAAAACAATCATTTGAAGCTTGATTGCAGTACATATTCAATGTAGCTGAGAAGAAAGTCCCTTTTCCAAACTGTAGCTGTGAAGTGGAAATAAATGTATAGCAGAAGATCAATGGAATGTGTAGTTGCATACTCTGAACAGATGTTCCTCAAAGACTAGTCTTAATGTGTTCGCCTGAAATAACTGAAAAAAAAAAGTTATGAAAAACTCAGGTGTTCCTCTTCCGCTGTCTGAAAACCTTGCGTAGTATTAAGTCACAAGCATTAATCACTTTGATTGGGGTTTGTTGAAAGGAAACTGTTTTATGTGACATGCTGTATTGTATGATCCAAAATATGTGCCATTATTTCATTAGTATGGATTTTTAGATCTTATAGAGCAATATCTTATAAAGTGACATATTTTTCCAGAAGACTTTTGCAGCACAGGAAATTGAAGAATTAACCATCCATGGTATTTAGGTGAACTTCTCTAGGGCATTGGGTATTATGTATGTGAAGTGAATGAATGAAAGGAACGAATGAACGGAAACATTTTGATAAAAATATTAGGAAATGGAAACTTATTACAATAGTAATGATGAATATGTAAAACATCAGTAATGTATAACATCAATCCATCAGTGGTCTAGCTCAGTGTTTCTCAACCTTTTTTCAGTCAAGGCACCCTCTAAAATATTGGACCGTCCTGAGGAACCCTTTAAAATTAAGGACAGTCTTGAGGCACCCCATTCTAAAATGTAAAAAACTATTCTAATAGTTTTATATATAACACAGCAACATTCATACTCGTAGGGCACCCAACATTAGAGGTAATATATTCTTCCAAAGAAAATACACTTTTGCACACTGGTACTGACTAGTATTCTGATGATTCTTGTCTCCCTCAGTTTTCCTCCATCACTGAGCTAATGTGACCCCAGCACTGATGGAGAGGGGCAGGGGAGAGTCAAACAAGGATGCTGTGCAGGCAACCAACATCCTCCTTATCAACTGATTATGTCTTTGGTTGCCAGGATTCCAGCAGTTAGAAGGTCATAATGGTGCTCAATGAAAACCTGTGGCTTTGTGTAACAAGGCAGGCGTGTTCCACCTGCTGGCTTGTATGCAGGTTTTGGGCAATTTTTAGTCATTTTGCCAAGGCACACCTAAAGAAACCTCAATGCATTCCAGGGTGCCTGGACACCCTTGTTGAAAAATGCTGGTCTAATTTCTGTAAGAAACCACAAATTGGTCCTTGACTATAGGAGACTTTTCTCTAATCATATTAAAAAAAAATATCTTTCAATGTAATTATGGTTATGAAAAGTGTACAACATAGAAAAAGGTGTTAATGCTTATAACATTTGTTTGTATACTATGAAACATTTTATATGTACTGCAATAACAAGATGTCATGAAACCCTAGCTTGCTATTTTTATCAAGACCAAGAGGTACTTTAGGCTGTGCCTCTACTCCCCCCCACAAATTTACCGTATTTTCCGGCGTATAAGACGACTGGGCGTATAAGACGACCCCCTACTTTTCCTGTTAAAATATAGGGTTTGAGCTATACTCGCCGTATAAGACTACCCCTCTTCCAACGCACACCAAATAAAAATGAAAAAACATCAGATTTGATTTCAATATGGTATGCTATTTCAGTATGGTATTCCAATGATGGGGTGCTATTCCTCCCACTGACACCAATGATGAGGCACTACTCCTCCCACTGACACCAATGATGGGGCACTATTTCATCCACTGACACCAATGATGGGGCACTATTCCTCCCACTGATACCAATGATGGGACACTATTCCTCCCACTGACACCAATGATGGTGCCCCATCATTAGTGTCAGTGTGTGTGAGGAATAGTGCCCCATCATTAGTCAGTGGGAGGAATAGTGCCCCATCATTAGTCAGTGGGAAGAATCGTGCCCCATCATTGGTGTCAGTGGGAGGAATAGTGTCCCATCATTAGTGTCAGTGGGAGGAATAGTGTCCCATCATTGGTGTCAGTGGGAGGAATAGTGCTCCATCATTGGTGTCAGTGGGAGGAATAGTGCTCCATCATTGGTGTCAGTGGGAGGAATAGCGGCCCATCATTGGTATCAGTGGGAGGAATAGCACCCCATCATTGGTGTCAGTGGGAGGAATAGCGCCCCATCATTGGTGTCAGTGGGAGGAATAGCGCCCCATCATTGGTGTCAGTGGGAGGAATAGCGCCCCATCATTGGTGTCAGTGGGAGGAATAGCGCCCCATCATTGGTGTCAGTGGGAGGAATAGCGCTCCATCATTGGTATCAGTGGCAGGAATTGCGCCCCATCATTGGTGTCAGTGGGAGGAATAGCGCCCCATCATTGGTATCAGTGGCAGGAATTGCGCCCCATCATTGGTGTCAGTGGGGAGAATAGTGCCCCATCATTGGTATCAGTGGGGAGAACAGTGCCTCATCGTTGGTGTCAGTGGGGGAGGAACAGTGCCTCATCGTTGGTGTCAGTGTGGAGGAGGAATAGTGCCCCATCGTTGGTGTCAGTGGGGGAGAGGAGCGGCTGCTCCTTCTTCAAGTTCGGCCCGCTCGATTTTCGCGGGGGCCGCTCGGCTGCGCCTCCTCGCCGGTGATTGGTTGCCTGTGTGCCTTTCCAGTGCTGGCGCCCAATCACCGGTGAGGAGGCGGAGCCAAGCGGCCGCGTGACCATCGAGCGGTCGAACTGAAAGAAGGAGCAGCCGTGCTACCTGGACCGGATCATCGTGGGACCGGAGCCAGGTAAGGTACAGCAGCCCCTCTGCCCACCCCTGTACTTAGTGTCCGTTGGAGGAGGAGGGGGGGCGGCGCCGTGCCGCCCCTCGAAAAAGTGCCGCCCTGACATTGGCTCGCACCGGCGTATAAGACGACCCCCGACTTTTCAGAAGATTTTCAGGGGTTGAAAAGTCGTCTTATACGCCGGAAATACGGTAACTACAAAACAGGAAATGTAGTTTGGATTAAAAATAATTATTTATAATTGCATGTTAAAAAGTGTCTAATTTTAAAGGATTAAAGAAGAACTCTAGGATAGGCAAAAAAAATCACCCATTAGGACGCCCCCTACACAAAACCTTAAACCATTTTAAAATGTTGAAAATCCTTACCATTTAGGAGAAAAGTCTAACTGAATTTTCATGACCCTTTCTCTGTAATCTGCCAAGAGGAGGTGTAACAGTAGGGATTACATCATATCCTCTTCTCTCTCTGCAGTAAAAGGAAACTACACTTCCCATCAACCACGGGGAATTGTGAATGTGGGTGGGTACACTAGGCCTGTACATGTTAAAAGTGTGTGAGAGTCTCAGTTCCCCCACCAACTGTAGCTGTGAAGTGGAAATAAATGTATAGCAGAAGATCAATGGAATGCGTAGTTGCATACTCTGAACAGATGTTCCTCAAAGACTGGTTTTAATGTGTTCGCCTGAAATGACTGAAAAAAAAAAGTTATGAAAAACTCAGGTGTTCCTCTTCCGCTGTCTGAAAACCTTACGTAGCATTAAGTCACAAGCATTAATCATTTTGATTGGGGTTTGTTGAAAGGAAACTGTTTTATGTGACATGCTGTATTGCATGATCCAAAGTATATGTTAAAAGTGTGTGAGAGTCTCAGTCCCCCCACCAATGCTAATGGGACTGAATTACATCACTGCTTCCTGGGGAAAGAAATACAGAAGGATGTGCCAAGACCAGTAGCTGGGGAAATAGGATATATTGCAGCCACTGGTCTTACTAACAGGAAACCAAAGAGAATTAAAGGTTTGATTTGAAAATAAATAGGCTATTTCAGATCAACTACTAAGTGAACCAGAAAATTAATGACATATTCAGTGAAGGTAGGAAATCAGCAACAAAGACATGTAAAAAAGAGTTCTGCTTTAAAGCTGAACTTCGGACAGATATAAAAGACATTCATTAATGTAGGTCTATATTCATAAAAATATCATGAAATGTACAGTATTTCTATATGCAACTAGTATAAGTACCTGAATTTGATTTGATATCAGTGTTTTTCATTCCCTGTGGCTCTTGCACATGGGCCCATTCCCACACATTTTCTCAGACAGGGCAATCCAGGTGCAGCGTACAGACTGTCATTCACATGAATGGCTGTGTGCCGCTGTACTCAGGTATACAGTGGTGCTATTGCAAATACGAGTACACAAGTGGGCTTATGCAAAAAATAGAAAATGTTCTAATTTTACATATGCTTGTATGCTCTACCCGTTTACAATAGCACTACTGAGGACATACGTTGGGATTATGCTGCACATGCTCAGTTAGCCTGTGTGTATGAGCCCTTATATAGAGGTACTGACACTGGGAAATAGAGAGGTGGGACTTGGTTCCAATTTGGTGTCCAGCATACAAATGTGTTGATACAGAACATGAGAGAAAAGTGAGCAGAGAGACAACCTTATCAGTATGCTGCTGTTTCACCATCTGTTCAGATGACTATCCAGTCACTGTTTTTTCATTACTCAGGCTTTTTTGCCTGGTGATCCTATCAGTTACACAATTCCTGTCCTTAGGTCACTATGCACACTCTGTATTGTATCTGTGGAGGAGCAATGTTGTCACCCTAACACTGGTAGATCACTGGGAGAGTTGGGAAGCGTGCTAATTATAATCAGCACAGCCAGCGTATACAGAAAATTTATCTCACTAGACCTCTGACAAGATCAACAGGTACATTTTGCTCTTATGGAAGAGATATAACTACAAACTAAAAAAGAGGACTGTTGTAACCTATAGTTTAATAACAATGCCAATACCAGTCAGGGTAGATAAAAAAAGCATAACAAGCAAAACCGTTAATGAACTCCAAAAGGTTCCCCCAATATAACCTTACCTCCACCACCCCCACACCCCTACCCTCCCCGTGCTATCATATATGAGTATTTTATCTGTACATTGTAGCTGTTTCAGACTTGTGCAACTGTATAGGCTCCTCTCCTGAAATGAAATTGTTTCTGATTTCACTGCATTCTGTATTTTCTCACAGTATTCACTGGAAGCTGCAGCAATATAGCAGATAAAGCCCACCTCATTTCCTAGCTAGAGGGCAACCAGCATCATCTAGCCCTTTTTTCCATAGCCTGATGGTCCCTGGCTCACCCCTTTTAATCATTGGATTTTTGGTTCAATCGCAGAGGCTCATTATTACATGCGGGTGTTATCAATGGTGGTCTGTAGCATGCAATGGCAATCTGCCTAGGAATGCCCTGTCCTTCAGAGACATATGCCCATTAAGTCATTCTGCTACTTGCATAACCTGTTTCAAAAGCCATACTATTGCCTGCTTCAGTACTGAGGATTCTTGAGAGGAGTATCAAAGAGACAGGGTGCTGTGATGTTTGGATGCAGATATGTACAGCACCCTACCTGCCCCTCCCACCAGCCATAATGTGCTTGCATTGACATGTGATTACAATATATACTGTAATGATTGCCTATTTGCTGCCTGCATATTGTAACAGTTGACTAATTGTTGCCTGTATATTAAATGTGATTGGCTGTTTGGGACCCATATATTGTCAGTATAGTAATTTTTTGCTTATATATCCACAACATATCATGTTTTTATAATTTAGTCCTCAAAATGAAACTTCACCCAAAAGGGGAAGTTTCGCTTGTGTGCCTCCTCCTCTCTCCTTTAAGCTTTGGCACTTTATTTAATTTTTTTTGGGGGTGAGAGCAGGCATCTGGTTTTGACAGGTAGTCTCTCCCACTTCCGGTCAGATCGCCGCAGTGATCTGAGTGGAAGTTTGCCCCCACTTCGCCCCTGCCTTCTGTGACATGTCACAAGTCCCAGAAGACTGCTGGACCATTCAGAAAGTTCAGCACGGCTCACACGTGTGCAGTGGGAACCTGGCTGTGTAGCTGCAAGTGATCACAGCCAGCTTCCCAAAGTAAACATGCCGTTGTAGCCAGTTAAAGTCTGAATGTATTAAAGCTTAGAAATATGCTGGTATGCCCAGTACTCTTGCACCCATGATAGAAAAAAATAGTGCTTTGATACTACGGGAATAAAATAAAAAATGCCTTACCACCACTCTTCCTTAGTAAGAGGCAGTATTGTATTTAGGTTTTGTGCTGCCCTAGGCAACACAAAGATCGTCTGCCCCTATGGACACGAACCAACACCACCCCCCATCCATCTCCCACGGAAGGAGCCTGACATTGAACAATAACACCCCTACCCCCCCACCTGGGAGATCCTTCCACTAACCCCCCTCAGCAATAGAGAGAAAGACACTCATCTTCACAGCTCCGGACATGAGAGTCAGGCTCTACATACACCATAAAGCAGCCCGCAGCCTCTCTCAGATCCCACCTGGTTCCCATGGCGCACGTGTCCCTGCTTCCATCCCTTCTTCTGGGGGGAGCTGCTTCCCCCCTGAAAAATGCCGCCCTAGGCAAGTGCCTTGTTTGCCTTGTGGTATATACGCCCCTGGTAAGAGGGCTGCTAATAACACACCTCACCCTGTGTGGATTAGATGTCTCAGTATCACTACAATCAGGTTAATAGTTTCAGATTTCAGATTAGGTTACTGGTCATTTGAGGGTTTGTATGGTTTGAGATCTGAAACTATTAACCTTGAGCTTCCACTGAGGGAGAGAGGGAGTGCTGATTGCAGTGATACTCTGGGATTAAATGGTAGGCCACTTATCTCTGTGAATTCTCTTTTCATAATAAAGTTGTAGCGCTACCCCTGTAAGGGCCACTGGATGTTGCTTGTCCTGTTTTGTCTCCCTGACCCTGAGAACTTCCCAACCTTCTGACACTCTGGGTTCTGAAATGGTGTATTCCCCTTTAAATGAATCACAGTCACAACAAAAATTGATAACAGCAGACTTCTGTATTAACCACTTGCCCTCCAGGAAATTTACCCCCCTTCCTGACCAGGCCTTTTTTTGTGATACAATGCTGTGTTGACAATTGCGGACAGTTGCGGTCATGCAACGATTCACCCAAATGAAATTTATGTCCTTTTTTTCCCACAAATGGAGCTTTCTTTCAGTGGTATTTGATCACCTCTGCGTCTTTTATTTTTGCACTATAAACAAAAAAAAAACAACAATTTTACTATTAAACATGTCCAGTAAAAAAAAATCAAAAAAATCAAATCTCATCATAAATTTAGGTCAAAATGTATTCTGCTACATGCCTTTGCTAAAAAAATCTCAATACGAGTAAGTTAATTGGTTACCTGAAAGTTATAGCTTCTACAAATGGCTGTATATATACTGTAATTTTATTTATTTTTTTTACTAGTAATGGTGGCGATCAGCGACTTATAGCAGGACTGCGGCGGGCATTCTGACACTGGGGGTGGGGGCTGACTAACTGTCATTGACATCCCCAGTGACACTAATACAGTGATTATTGCTAATAAAAAGCACTGACACTATACTATTGACACTGAGCAGGAAGGGGTTAATCCCTCTAGGGTGATCAAAGGGTTAACTGTGTGCTGTATGTGTGTATTACAGTGTAAGCACACTGCTTTGTATTGCTTTGCTGTGCAGAGCAATACAAAGCTGCGTGCTGGAGCTGAAACGGGAGAGATCTATATTGTTTACATACAGACCTCTACTCCATCAGTGTTACTCGGCGATTGCCGGGTGCCAGCAGGGAATCACAGGCCGGGATTGACAGCTGACAGCTGATCAACAGCTGAAGTCGCCAATGGTGGCGTGGGTAGGACACTTGCCTACCTGGAAATGCAAAATCACGTATATATACTTGATTTTGTGCAGCCGTGCCACCCTGTAACAGTATTTCTGCTATAGGGTGGCGGGCAAGCAGTAAATAAAGGAAAAAATTAGATTTAAGGTATCAGTCAGCCAATCCCTGGAACAATATCTAGGGTTGGTTGGGTATAGCACAAGGCAATTGGGTAATTTCAGAAGTAACAAACGCCAACAGTAAAAAGCAATACCACCTAGCTCTATATGAAATGGTGAACATTTTAGGCTTGACCTCATGTTATATGGTTTTGGTAAATCTAAAGGAAAATTGTATAGTGTATGGCCAGCCTTAAGCTCTACTTGGTCAAGTCCACACCCTGATAATAATGAGATAAGGGTAGTCCTAGTATCAGGCCTGAACAGTCTTCACCAGCATGTTGGAGCTCGGTAGTATTATAGCAAATCCTTGGGGAGTTTAAGTAATCAACTGGTGAAAAGTGGATATGGCAGAAGTGGAAAATTCCTTTGTAATCCAGATTATAATGCCTGCGTGCAGTGCCCATGTGCTGAGTGTTACTGAAGAAGGGGGTTTAAGCACAAGCCAGCCCACCAAATCCTGGAGGTAGTCAGCACACACAGGAAGCAATGCAAGGTCTGCACACCAATAAGCAATGCAAGGTCTGCAAACTGGTAAGCCATAGAGGGATGCTGTAGGTCAGTTGAATGCAGAGTGTGGGAGGAATAGTGCCCCATCATTGGTGTCACTGACACCAATGATGGGGCACAATTCCTCCCACTGACACCAATGATTGGGCACTATTCCTCCCACGGACAACAATGATGGGGCACTATTCGTACCACTGATACCAATAATGGGGCACTGTTCCTCCCACTGACACCAATGATGGGGCACTATTCCTCCCACTGACACCAATGATGGGACACTATTCCTCCTTCCACTGACACCAATGATGGGGCACTATTCCTCCTTCCACTGACACCAATGATGTGGCACTATTCCTCCTTCCACTGACACCAGTGATGGGGCACTATTCCTCCCACTGACACCAATGATGGGACACTATCCTCCCACCGACACCAATGATGGGGCACTATTCCTCCCACCAACGCCAAAGATGGGACACTATTCCTCCCACTTACACCAATGATGGGGCACTATTCCTCCCAATAATACCAATGATAGGGCACTATTCCTCCCACTGACACCAATGATAGGGCGCTATCCTTCCACCGACGCCAATGATGGGGCACTATTCCCTCCCACCGACGCCAATGATGGGACACTATTCTTCCCACTTACACCAATGATGGGACACTATTCCTCCCACTGACACCAATGATGGGCCACTATTCCCCCCCACTGACACTAATGATGGGGCACTATTCCTCCTTCCACTGACACCAATGATGGGGCACTATTATTCCCACTGACACCAATGATGGCACACTATTCCTCCCACTGACACCAATGATGGGACAGTATTCCTCCCACTGACACCAATGATGGGACACTATTCCTCCCACTGACACCAATGATGGGGCACTATTCCTCCCACTGACACCAATGATGGGGCACTATTCCTTCAACTGACACCAATGATGGGGCACTATTCCTCCCACTGACACCAATGATGGGGCACTATTCCTCCCACTTACACCAGTGATGGGGCACTATTCCTCCCACTGATACCAATGATGTGGCACTATTCCTTCCGCTGACACCAGGATGGGGCACTATTCCTTCCACTGACATCAATGATGGGCACTATTCCTTCCACAGACACCAATGATGGGGCACTATTCCTCCCACTGACACCAATGATGGGCCACTATTCCCCCCCACTGACACTAATGATGGGGCACTATTCCTCCTTCCACTGACACCAATGATGGGGCACTATTATTCCCACTGACACCAATGATGGCACACTATTCCTCCCACTGACACCAATGATGGGACAGTATTCCTCCCACTGACACCAATGATGGGACACTATTCCTCCTCCCACTGACACCAATGATGGGGCACTATTCCTCCCACTGACACCAATGATGGGGCACTATTCCTCCCACTGACACCAATGATGGGGCACTATTCCTCCCACTGACACCAATGATGGGGCACTATTCCTCCCACTTACACCAGTGATGGGGCACTATTCCTCCCACTGATACCAATGATGTGGCACTATTCCTTCCGCTGACACCAGGATGGGGCACTATTCCTTCCACTGACATCAATGATGGGCACTATTCCTTCCACAGACACCAATGATGGGGCACTATTCCTCCCACTGACACCAGTGATGGGCACTATTCCTCCCACTGACATCAGTGATGGGCACTATTCCTCCCACTAACACCAATGATGGGGCACTATTCCTTCCACTGATACCAATGATGGGGCACTTTTCCTCCTACTGACACTAATGATGGGGCACTATTCCTCCTGCTGACACCAGTGATGGGGCACTATTCCTCTCACTGACACCAATGATGGGGCACTATTCCTCTCACTGACACCAATGATGGGGCACTATTCCTTCCACTGACACCAATGATGGGGCACTATTCCTTCCACTGATACCAGTGATGGGGCACTATTCTTCCACTGACACCAACGATGGGGCACTATTCCTCCAAATGACACTGATAATGGAATAAAGTAAGAGGTGGAGCTCTAACAGGAAGAGGTGGAGCCTAAAGAGGGAGGGTGGAGCTTACATGTGAAGGGGTGGATCTTAAACAGGAAGGGGGTGGGATGAATTTAGATGGGGGGTACCCGATTTTAGTCTTGACTAGGGCAGCACAAAACCAAAATACACCACCTTCTGCCAATTGCAACGCAGGAAAAGCAGGGGATCTTCTAGTGGCACCCAGTGATGCAAGTTCACCCATGAAATGATAGCTATGGTTCACAGGGTATTGGCAGGTAGCAGTCCAGGCAGCTGGACGGCAGCTCTGATGCTCACTGGAAGGTCCAAGCGAGAAGAGCAGGCCTTCTGAAAACAGCTCCTTAAATAGCCCTTCCCATGATCCCCCTTTCTGCTAGATGTTTGCTGGGAGTTGTAGGCTAAGAAAGAAACACAATTATGGCTGTACATAGGACTACAAGTCCCATTGTCCCTTGCTTCTTGGCCCAGGATTTGAGGTAAACAGTCTGAGTGCAACACTAGAGGGGGAAGCTTACCAGCCTACAGTTATGAAGGTAATGCCCACAGCATTCATGTTAACATAGCTGGCACCTGGCTACAAAGACATCAGCTGTGGGCTGAATCAATTTGGCTATGGATCATTGTAGGCTTTTTATGTTCTGTTTTCATCCTACAACAAAATAGATAATGTAATATAAAAAGTGTGAGCTGATGAGTTGTAGATCATCACAGTCTTTAAAAAGCTATTCCAGGCGGGTAAGTGAAAAAGCCATTGATCTACTAGTTCTATAATGCAAACACTGCAAAAGTCCATAAATCAGAAGGTTCACTCAATTTACTTTGATCATTGGGAGTTTATTTCCTAGAGCATATACTATGCAACGTTCTCTATCTCTGCTGCAGCATGAGAAGATCACAGGGGTAGAGGTATTTCAGATTTGAACGAACAGTGAAGCTATCAGCGCATGGGACAATTCTCATTCAATGTAATTATTGCCCCTTGCCAGAATAAAAAAAAGATAAATAACTAAACACAAGCTTTAAATGTCAATGTTGTTTAGAATGCATCTTTATGTACAGTAAAAAAACCATGGAACGTTTTCAGGATTGGTTGGTATGAACAGTCTAAATTGATTGTTTAACAATTTATTCACAATCAAAGCTGGTTTATCTGTTAGAATATAGTAAAACATTATTATTACTTTTCTAGTGTAAATTAGCAGGGTCTGTTATTTTATAGACCAAGCAGATGTTATTGCTGGAAATGGAACGTCCTACCATTATGGCTTTTGCTATAAACCTCTTTATGACATTTAGCTGTGTTCTCCAAAAAAGATAAGAATGTATTTTACAGTTTGTTTTAATTGTCAGGTCAAAAAGTTGTAATAATAAGCTAAAACTACAAAGGAACAATAAATATTACTGTTATATAGGTGTCCATACCAAGGTGACAGATATGTGTAAAAATCAGTAAACTAAAGAGCACTGTTGTCTATAGGTGAAGCTGGTGTGTAGGAGAGTTATGACTGAAGAAAAGAGGGGGCAATATGTATTATGGAGAAGGGTTCACAGTTCCTTTCACCAGCACTTTGTTATTCTTACTCCCCGACCAAGGGCGGACTGACAACTCATGGGACCCCGGGCAATAGGGGATCATGGGACCCCTGTGTCCTTGCCCAAACTCAAAAAAGCCTATGGTAAAGGTACCAGGGGCATCTCATGGGGCCCCCTACTGACCCCGGGCCCTTGGGCAGTGCCCTAGTTTCCAAATGATCAGTCCGCCCCTGTCCTTTTCCACCAGGACCATTGGAAATGTAAGAAAGTATGTTAGTTTTCTTGATTAACCCGACCAACACACATATCACTAGAGCTGATATGTCTTCTATTCATTACAAAGCAAATACTAAGACATATGACACTCAGCAACATAAAACACTAAAAAGCCAATAAACCCCCCCCCCCCCAAAAAAAAAAACTAGAATATAAAATATAAACAGTAGAGAGTTGCCAGTTTATGTGGCTTTCCATGCCTGCTCATTATCTTTCAGCTTTGAGAAAATTTTCAGTTGCATTGGAACATCGCCTATCATAAATATAAACTTTCCAATTAAGCAGTCTTGGCATTACCATTTGACATACGCCCAACTAATTGATAAATTTTTGTTACAGGAAGGATAGATAATGATGTTGTCTCTATTACCCAGTCAATTGCCTCTTTCCATTTTACAGCCTGCATTAGAAAATAGATAGCCAGATTGTGCTTGGTTGCACAACATTTTAACTTTTTTTCTTTCATTTAGAAATAATATACAGTACATTAACATCCGGGAATTGAAATTACATAAAAAACTCATAATGTACCTTAGAAGTGGCCCTTTGGAAGACCCTGTGCATTGTGATGACCAATACTCGGTAGCAGTTGTTATATTTATGAGAATGTAAATACGTAGGTTTATTTTTGTTTATCAGGTGTTCAGAAGGCAATGCTGGTATTTGCAATGGCCCTAGTGTTGTACAAGCATTTGCCTTGTTTTGCAGCACTCCCCCATTGACTTGAATTGGCATGTTTGACAAACGGTACCACCTGTCAACTTAACATGCTACTTAAAATTTGCCATGGCTATGACACAAAACTTTGTGGCTGCAGCATGTGAATGGTCCCCCCCTCTGGTTCCTCTTCACATGGCAGCCATTTCCCTCATCTCTCTCTGCTGTTGACATTCAGGGTGAATGTGAAGTACTGGACTAATGTTTCTGGGCAGATAAAGCTGGATTCTGCAGTTCTGGATTGGAACATTCAGTTCTGTGTCCGGGTTTGGTGTGACAGGTGTGAGGTATCATTATATAGTCAGGTCTGAGAAAATCTCAGGGCTCCCTTTTGGAAACTGCTCTCATTGGGGGAGAATGAGGGTCTCATTGAGGGGTCAGAGGACCCAGCTAGAAGCCAAGAGACTGAGGTCTCAGTTCCAGCAGTTAGGTCAACTCCTATTAGGGTGTCAGGAGAACCTCATCCATAGGGTGCTGTGTCTATAGGCTAGAGAGCTAAGTGTCCAGGAGAGATACTGCAATTGAATCTGAGTGAGCTATTGAGCCAGGTGGCCTTGCATTTTTCAGTGTATGGGTTTCTGTTGCAGTAGATCCCCTGTGTGGGAAATCATTTGTTTGTGAACTTTTGCTTTCTTATAAATAAATGTAGGCTACACGCCCTTGAAAATAGTTCCTCTCTGC